TGTTGACATTCCCATGAGTAAGCGCCATAATGAAACGAAATGAAATTGATTTATTTCTCAGTAATGTTTTTCAAAATAATCTGATTTACTTCTGAGTCCTCATATATAGTAGTCATATTCATCCAGAACATTTTCAGCTAGTTGTTCCTTGATGCAAAAGAACGAAGGATATATTTGAAGACATTCTAAACTGTATCTGTTGAGCCTGCATGATTCTTCCTTTTGCAATGTCTCTCCTCACCTGCCCACTGAAGTGACTTCTTGTCCTCAACAAATAAAAAAGCAGTACTGCAAGTTTAACACTTGATGATGGTATGCTTTTTCAGTCTCACATGCATTGCATCCTGAACATAAGAGTTTCTTTTCTTTAGATTTCACATGAAAATCTGCACATATTTTTGTGTGTGTTCTGCACAGCACACACCTACTCGAATCCTACTGCAAAATTCAGAAAAATTTGGATTTTAAATGATAATGAGTTTTGGATAGTAAATTGGTTGGCAAGTGTGACGTTCAGGACTGGGTAGAGATTTGAATCAAGGTCCACCCTACCCTAGTGTGATACTAACCACTTCATCACACTGTGTCTCTTTTTGTTGAAAATGTGGAAGATTACAGGGTCTAAAGTTTGCATTAAATATTTTACTTTGCATTCATTTATGGCTGTTTTTTTTAAATCTTATAGGAGAAGAACGCAGAAGAAATCATGAATGAGAACAGCACTATTGTAGTTGGATTTATTCTCCAAGGAATCTATCAACAATCTGATTTACAAGCCTTGCTTTTCACAGCCTTCCTGATCATCTATATTTTTATCTTGACGGGAAACACACTGGTTTTTGCTGCCACAGTCTTTAATCGTGCTCTGCACACACCCATGTATTTCTTCCTTAGACATTTGTCTTTTCTGGATATCTGCTTTGCATCTGTAACTCTCCCCCACATGCTTATGAACCTCCTGTCAGAGAAGAAGACTATTTCCTTCTTAGGCTGTGCCATGCAGATGTTCTTTTTCATCTTTTTGGGGGCTTCTGTGTGTTACCTCCTTGCTGTAATGGCATATGACCGTTATCTGGCCATCTGTCATCCTTTACATTACATCAGACTCATGACTAAGAGGGCCTGCTTCCTGTTAGTTGCTGGCTGCTGGCTAACCGGGTTGTCCATATCCCTAGTGCAGACACTGTTGCTATTTTCCCTCCCCTTCTGTGGGTCTGACATCATCAACCACTTCTTCTGTGACATCCTCCCACTCATGAAGCTACACTGCCCCAGCTTCCACATAATAGATGTGGAGAGGATTCTAACAGCGTTTCTGGTGCTTGCCACCACATTCATACTCATCCTGGTTTCCTACATTCTGATCATTGCAACCATCTTGAAGATTCCCCTGATGGGTGGAAGGCAAAAGGCTCTGGGCACCTGTTCCTCACATATCCTCTCTGTGCTTGTCTTTTATGGAGCAGTTATGTTCATGTACTTGAGGCCCCATTCTCATTATTCAGATTCTATGGATAAGCTTCTTTCCCTGACCTACACTGTAGCTCCTGCAGTGCTCAACCCTATTATCTACAGTCTGAAGAACAAGCAGGTGAAAGATACCTTAAGGAATATGTTCATCGAAAGAAACTGTTCTGTAGGCACATGAAATGTCCATATTGGAAAATGATCTTATACATCTATAGGCCACCTCTTGGTTTGCTCTCATGGGAAGGTGGTCTTTTCTTCCCTGACTACTGTTAGGACCACAATTAGACATACCAGTGCTGTGAGAGATCCATTGAGGCTCCACACAGGGAAGCAATGAAAAAGACAATGTGTTGATATGCTCAATTCATTATTGTATATAAGAGGAATGGGCAGCTTCATACCCTTGCTGCAGGCTGTGCCCCCTGTACTTAAAAATGACATGTGTGGTGACTACAATATATCCGGAGGGTAAACATTTACTCTTTTGCAATGTAATTCTGATATCTTTGGTATTCTAACGCCACGATGACTGTCATTTTAAAATAATTGCAAGTGCACTGGGAGAGTGAGCTGGCAGGGGGTGTTGTCCACCCTTGCCTTCTGGTTGCTTTCCCATTCCCATCTCCCTAGTATGTCTGGTTGCTTTCCTATTCCCTTCAAAACCAGCAGCAACTGATACTGATTTTGCAGGCTCAGTGCCAACATGGGGGTGGGGGCTGCAAGCTACAGCACCGAGGAAGCATCAAACCAGACTAGTCTGCCATTAGCAGGGCAAGGCCCTGTTGCATCAGGTGTTGCAGTGAGAAGAGCAATGAATTTGGCTCCACCCACCTCCACAGGACAATCTGCCACTGTACATGCCACAGGAAAAGCACAGCCACCTGCCCTCTCTTTTCCTCATGCTCATTGTCCAGCAGTGCAGCTTTTCTGTGCATGGTCACTCTATATGTCTGTTGGGATGTGGAATCTTTTTCTATGCATTTTGATGGTGTGCAAGGTTAGAATGCAACCTGTGACAGGGGGAAAAGTTAAATGCAAGTTAAGATGTAGCTGTAAGATGGGGTGGAAGTCAGAGTGAATGATACACTAGTCCCCACCACCACCCATGGTAGAGACCTCTTTAAATGTATATCTTCCAAGAACATCTCATTTATTTCTCTATATCTCAATTTTCAAATGCAACCACATTTGGAAACATTGCAGCCCAGGTAATATTAGCAATTCATTGTACATGAACAGTAAAACTGTAGAGTTCAACAGAGTTTTTTTTTTATATATATACACGTACACATACACATCTCCACCCATCCATCCATCCACCCATCCATGGATCCTCCTTCTCCTTCTTGGATTGGAGGCCCTCCTACTTCCTGCAGAGTAGGCCCAGTTACATAAATGAGATGTAAATTAGCTTTATGTATGACTAAGTTGTGAGACAGTTCACAGACATGAAGTCAGCAGGACTCTGAACATGTTTTGGGGGAATAGTAAAGGCTTTGGTTCGAGTTATATGTTCAGGTTTCTATTTCTTGGTAATTTAAAAAGAATACTGGCCAAAGAATTTTGCTACCTGAAGCAGCACCCAAATCCCTCCCAGAATGAACACTCTAGAAACTCTTGGTGCATCACTGATGCACCAATTTCTGCCATCATCTTTTACTCCCATCCTCATGATGCAACCTGAAGAAGACAGAGTCATGCTGTGGAATACCTGCATGAAACTAGTCTGTAATGCAACAATTGTGTGCATCATTTATAAATCAGAATAGCATTTGTATTCAGGCAAGGCACAAGTGTATGCTTCATGGTAAAATCTCACCTCACTCCATTTCTCTTACCAGTGGGAAGAACAATGCAAAATGTACTGATAAAAGAAGTTGCTTGTGTTTAACTGGGCTGGATTGAACTCCAGCTGCTAATACATGTCAGAAATACAGCTTTGTTTTAATAAATACAGTAACTATAGAAGGAAAGGTTATTCATACATATTATGACTGGTTCCATAGTTCGATTCTGTTATACATGGGAATAAGTGCATTTTTTCACTTTCTACTTTGCTAATTATGATGGGAAAGGACACTGGTTCATCTTTTCATTTCGCTTGTTATTGTCTGCTTGTAGATAGAACACTCAGGGGATATAAGTTGGAACAGTGAGACAGAGGCAAGAAATACTTCCTTCCACAATTTGCTTGGAATACTAGAAGTGCAGCAAAGGAGTCAGAAACACAAGGTCGTGAGTTCACTGGTTCCAGTAAGTACAAAATTACCTTGTTTTGATGACTGATGCATTTTCTTCTAAAATGCTGTACTGTGTACATTGCTTGAAAAGCATTGATTTGCATTATGTTAATGATGGCATTGCACAATGGCATGTCTTCTACTGCCATGAAGGAGGTAGTGGTGCAGCTAGTCCTAAAAGAGAAGAACAAGAACAGGAATCCAGGGATCTAGTGGTCTATACCAACTATTCTCTGGTCACACATTTGCCCCTCCCAGTTCTGAGGCTTGAGACAGCAGCAACATTGCAACTGCAAGCACTCATGAATGAACCTGGTTCTCTGATCCATTGCAGTCTGGTGTCAGATCAGGTTTTGGGGTAGAATTAGCTCTGGGTACCCAATGGATGATCTTCTTACTCCTTGAACTTGCAGCCATTTCCAATGCTGATGATGGCAGCATCCTGACAGCTGAGTTGAGAGTTAGAGGGGTTGTTTGGAATTGCTTTAGCTTTTACGTTAAGCAAGAAAAACGGAGGTACAAGCAGAATGAAGCATAAAAGAAATTGAATGACATGGCAACTTCATTTCCTGGACCAGACCGCACTGTGGGAAATACTCCTAGTTCTAACCTGTTAAGTACCCCGAAAGAGAACTTCCTTTTTACTAGTGCTAAAGATGAGAAAGCATTTATCTCCATTCTGTGTCTTGCCTAGCAGAGGGACTTCATTTCTATTTTTTTAAACTCTCTTTGGCCACAATCCTAGGATAATAATCCAAAGTCCAAAGAAGTAGACTGTTCCTATGCAAGGCAGAAAGAACAGTTAAGCTAATCTTCACTCCCCCCCCCCACCTTGCATGTTTCCCTCAGTGGAGGTTTTCCTATCTAGCTGAGTATTACAGTAGGGAGGGAAGGAGGCAACAGAGGCTTCAAGATAACTCATATTATGCCATTTCGAGTCGCCACAACCAGTTACCTCTTTCCTTTCTCTAATGAGTTCTTCCCATCATCAGATAGCACTTAGTGCAGTACATTCCATGTTAGCTGCAAAGGGGAATGAGAGTTAGAGTGCAGATCCTACATCCAGACTTAGAGGATTGTGTTCAGCCTTGAATCTGGGAATTCAACATCTCTAATGGCCTCTCAGATACAGTCCAGGAGTTATACAGTAGCCATCTCCAGGACTTTGGTGTGGTGGAAAGTGGAAAACAGATAGTGAGAAAGTTATCTGATCTTCTACAAATTCTCTTTCCACCAACTGGGGAAAAGCATTTGGAAACAGTCATCAATTCAATTGTTTTCTCTTCTAGGATGCAGACCAAGGAAGAAAGAATTCCAGAAAACAGCAGTACACCAGCTAAGTTTATCCTTCTGGGTCTTTCTGATGAGCCTAATCTGCAAACTGCATTGTTCTCTGCTTTTCTCATCATCTATATTACCATATTGACTGGTAATCTTCTCATCATTCTTCTTACATTGACTGACCACGCCCTACACACACCAATGTATTTCTTCCTAAGGAACCTGTCCTTCCTGGAGATCTGTTACACCTCAGTCAATGTCCCCAAGATGCTTCTCAATATCCTCTCTGGCAGTAGATCCATCTCCTTCCTTGGTTGTGCCCTGCAGACCTACTTCACATTCTTCTTGGGTGGGTCAGAGTGCTTCCTCTTGGCCTCGATGGCCTATGATCGTTACCTTGCTATTTGCAAGCCTCTGCACTACTCTGTCCTGATGAGTCAAAAAGTTTATACAAGTCTAACAGTGGCATCTTGGTTAAGTGGGTTTCTGATGTCCTTTGGTCACACCAGCATGGTGTTTACTCTGCCTTTTTGTGACTCCAATGTGATCAACCATTTCTTTTGTGACATTCCTCCATTGCTGAAATTAGCATGTGGGGATACTTCCAGGACTGAAATTGCTGTCTTTGCAATAGCTATGATGTGTGTGACTTTTCCTTTTGTCCTGATCTTGATGTCTTATGCTGGCATCATTGCTGCCATTTTGAAGTTCTCTTCCTCTGAAGGATGGAGGAAGACCTTCTCCACCTGCTCTTCACATCTAATTGTGGTGACCTTATTCTTTGGTTCTGCTTGCATTATATATTTGAAGCCCAATTCCACTTACTTTCCAAACCATGATAAGTACCTCTCTCTCTTCTACACTGTTGTTGGTCCCATTTTAAACCCTGTCATATACAGTTTGCGGAATAAAGAGGTAAAATGTGCCTTTCTGAGAATCTGGGAGAGAAAACCTTTTTGATAGGCATAGAGAGTGGGATTCAACTTGACCTGGCACTTGTACTCACCCAACTGAAAAGGCTACAAATGTGCCAAAGCAGAGGGAATTGCCCTAATAGAAACTTAATGTGTGAGTTGACAGGAGCTCAAATTTCAGAGTAGGTCAGGAAGAAATTAGCTCAGAAGGAAGCTGAATCACTTCCTCTAGTATTGTCCTATGCATATGTTGAATGAGAATACCATTTTAAGAATGGGTTTAACCTGGGAGATTCACACTATGTAAAGTGATTGTTGCATAGTCTCATAGCAAAAGACTGTAGTCTGAATCGAAAGGTCAGAGCATTATTTCCAAAAAGTGAACATTTTCCATGACCAGTAGAAATGGGAAATCGAACCCTGTGAGTTTGGTTTAGCTTAATAGTTCTTTATCCAGTCTTCAAATGTTTGGTCTCCCTGTGAGGGCACCGCAATCCAACCCGCAATCAAGCACCCATCCAACAATTAGCATAGGTCTGGGAAACTGCTTATTCCCAGAGTGACAAATATACAGAGAAACATGATAAAGTTGAAGGAATTAGACAAATGGAGGTGGGTGGGGTGGGGAGCTCTGAAGACAGGCCTGGTATTCCAGCCTATTGACATCTTGCATCCTCTCCATTCACTTGAGGGGCAGAGGACTTTACTCTTCAGGAGAGGCTCCCTTTCATTCTCACCCAATAATTTAACCACTAATCCACATGTTCAAATGAGAATATACATAAAAACCAATACAAAATTGTATATTCATATTTAGCAGTTAAAATACTGCAATAAGAAGGTTTTAACCTGGTGCTGAAACCAGGCATTCCACACTGGGAAGCTGGTTCCATTGTGGCCACCTTCTACACTTCTTTTAAAGGTGGCTCCCAGAGAATATAATGATGAACTGAGCAGAACAGTGTTTCAACCAATTCTGTATAATGCCATGTACTCTCCAGATTTGCTGCCTTTTAATGCTAGGTTAAAACTTGTTTCTGTTCTGCATTTTCTACTGAATAAACTTTCCTTGCAAAGTGTTACACTTACGTGTGTTTCTGTGTGTCCATGAATGCAAAAGCAGGGTGTGCTCTCTCTCTGACAGCACCTGTTAAAACGTCTGCAAAAGATTAAGGGGAGCACCTCCTTTAGAACTGTACTGTTCCCCAAGATTAGCTGGTATACCAATATCCTCAGTGTTGGCTCTGGCAGCTAACTCTGGGGATTTTTCTTACTTACCTGCAATTTGCCATTCCAATTGTTATGGTGAGTAGCTCCAATCAGTTCTAATGACAATCAGTTCACTAAAGTCTTTCAAATGCTAGTCTAGAAGAAATGCTACTTACCCACTTCTGTCACTATGGCAGTAACAGAGAAATATCTTAAGAAACACATGCAAATAGAAAATATGGAACATCTGGGACAGTTCATTTAGTGCCACCACTTACTGAAGATAAACCATACAGAAAAGCTTTTGGGGAAAAACAAGTTGATATGAGAGTGAGGTGTGGTGCTTAGTATTTTGAGGACCCAGGAGATCCTGGCTGTTGTCCCCATGAAGCCAAGAAACTCACTGTGTGGCTTTGGGCAGTCATTCATTCTCAGCCACAATGTTGTTGTGAGGTTAAAATAGATTTGAGAGAGATTATTGGATTCCTGGCAAGGAGGAAAAGGGGTGGGATATCAATGAAATGTAATAATATTGACTACATCAACTCTACATACCAAAACTTTTCCATGAAGTGACCAAGGGTATAATCTTCTCTCATTCCACCAACACCAGAAGTACTATTGGACTGTTCAAGGTCCCACCTCCAAAGGGCAAGCCTCACTCACACTCCCTTGGCATGCAATGAACGGGCCCCAACTGCCTTCCCCAAGTTGCCAGTTGGCCTCAGAGAGGAGGGAAAACAGGGTGCGTGGGAAGGCTGGGGTTGATGATCGAAACTGTATCCAGGCAGCACCTCCATCCTCTGCCCTCTACACCACTTCACTAGACAGCTGAAAGTAGTGGCCTAGAGGAAATGCAAGGGACATGGCAGAGTGGTGGTCAAGTTGCTAGCCCCATGCCTTGCTCCATACCTTGGATACTCAAAATACTCTAGGTTCAAAGGCTTGCATGCATTTGGGGCAGTGGGGGTGGGAAGGATCATGCCACTAGAGAAACCTTTAATGGCTACAAGATGGCAATCATAGCCAAAGAAGCCATGAATCAGTGCCTGTGTTTCCAAATTTCCTGAGCATTGAAGGTGACATTCCTTTGCCTTCTCCAAAATGATGAAAGAATGAGAATGAGTAGCCTTATCGATTTCCTAAAAACTTAATTTTATTTCTTAGGCAGATGCTTTTTGGAATTGATATGGCATTTTTGAACAGTGCTAAGAGTGTGTATTTCACTTTTGCCAGGAAGGTCATAGACCCTCTTTTGGGAGAGGACCAAGCTAAAGCCAGAATGGAGAGCATCTCTAAGACCTTTTCTTGGAGACGTGTTTTTATTTTTCCCATCCTTGCTGAGATTTTGAATTGCTGTTTCTTCCCCCTGATTTTACTAATCATATACTACATTAGCTACTTCTCCTCCATGATGCACCTGAAACTGGTTGTTCCATGCTGCTGAATGTTTGGATTGCCCTTTAGTATATTATTCCATAGCTGACTGCAGCATTGATCAGTTGGAATCAAATGTGGTGCATTCATGTGCACATTTAATATATCAATATCACCTAACCCCAACTTTCTTACTCATGGGAAGAAAGAAACAAAATATCTTGGTGTGTTTATCTGAACAGAAATCTCTCAGACACTGTGATTGACCAGTTCAAGTTTTTTAGGGCTTGGTTGAACTCCAAGTGTTAATGCATATCAGGATAATGTTAAGGAAACACAATTCTGGTGCAGAAAATATCAACGAGATGAAAGGTGATTCAGGAATATATTGATTGGTTTCAAAGTACAGGTGTTCCATGCATGGTAATGAACACATTCTTTCCCTTCCAACTGTATTGATTTTTATACTTTTAATGCATAGGTCCATTTAGCTAGCTATGTTTTCTGATCTGCTTCTAAGTAGAACTCCCAGTGGGAATGAGATGGAACAATAAAACATAGCAATAAAATGCTTCCTTCTGTGACAGTGCTTGGGAAATCACCGGTGCAGCTGAGGAGTCAGAAACACAAGGCTTTGTTTCACTGGTGTCAGTAAGTGCAGGAGTGTCTTGTTTTGAAGTGGAACAATTCAAAATAAAGCCACTCTCAAAAATTTGATGGACTGGGGACCTCCTATCTCCTTTAGCATTTGAGTAGGTGGCATTTGGCTTTGCCAACTATGCATTGCTAAGTATAGAGATAGCTAGCCTGCCCTTGTTGAAATGCACGCATATCCACTTCCCTGACAGTAGTGCATTTTCTTATATACATGTAAACCAGAAACTTATCCATGTCACTTATATTCCTTGGGGCTGATACATAGAAACCTTATACAACTTTTCTTTTTATTCCTTTTAAAAATTGTTTTGGTTTCTGTATAAGCACCTGAATTTGACTGTTAACTTTATTTATGAAAACAAAGTAGTATATGATAAATATATTTCACAGAGTACATGAAAAGGATAGGTCTAAATTCCATTATCTACTCATCTGAGTCTGGGCGGTAACTTTTTGAGAGTCTGGGCGATAACTCTTTTTGATAGGCATACATAGGAAGATCCAACCTGATGTGACACTAGTACTTATTTGGAAATACTTCAACTATCCCTGGCAAGAGGGAATCGAAATAAAAAGACTTGATATGTCAGTTACTGGCAGCTTGATTCAGCTTGGCTCTGAATGAAGCTGAACCGTTCCCCCTAGAGGGCCCTGCGCATATGCAGAATGAGAAACTCTTTCAAAGGGATGGTTATAGCCTGTGAGATTGTAACCATGTAACAATAGAGCCTCATAGCAGAAGGCAGTAGCGTGCATCCTAAAACAAGAGACATCTTTTATAAAAAATGAAATGCCCAAACTCAAACTCCAGGCTTAATTTGGCCTAGAGGTTCTCCATTCAGTTCTCAAATGCTTGGTTTGTCTCTGGGAGAGCCTTCCTTCTCCTTCCCGTGTCCTACTGATTTGAGTATCCTCAGAAAGTGGCAGGGAGACTGAAAAGAAGACAAATGGATTTTCAACTGGGTAGTATAAAATGTTTCCCAGGTTTTTTTTGCTCCAATATTTGATCAGTTGTAAAGTTTTAAATCAGAATTTCTCTCATCAACTCTCAGTGACTCACATATTACTGTTATTCCTAAAACTGATGAAGGTCACACACATTATGCCAATTATTAGCTTATTTCATTAAGAAATGCTGACCTTAAGATATCAACAGCAATCTTTGCAGATCAATAACAAGTTTTTACTATATTAATCCAACCAGAGCAAGTACAGTTTATCACAACAGACAGGAGGAGTTGATAATCTCAGATGAGTTGTTGGCTTGGTAGCACTCCATAAGGACAGAATGGATACAGTTGCTATTGCCTTGTTTTCTCCCTTCATTCAAAGGAAGCTTTTGACAAAATGTATTGGAAATTCATTTTAATGAAACTGAGAAACATTGACTTTCCTGTGAGATTTCTGAAATAGGTCAGAGCTGCATGTTCAACTCCAAGAGCAAGTGACAGGACCAATAGCTTGTTATGTTATGTTATGTTATGTTATGTTATGTTATGTTATTGGGAGGGTGCATTTAATCTGGGGCAAGATATGCATCAGGGACGTCCACTCTCCTCACTGGTATTTGTCCTATGTTTGGAACTTTGACATGCAATATTTTTTATTTATTATTTATTTACATAAAGCATTTTTATCCCATGCTTTACAAGTGTTTCAGGTGGCGATACAAAACAAAGAAGCATCATACAATAAAATACAAATCTGATAAAACCCAATATTAAAATCTCAATCAAATCTTAAAATACCTGGAAAATAAAAAAGGTTTTGGCCTGGCACCAAAATGAACAAAGCCTTGGCATCAGGTGCATCTCTCTGAGGAGCATGTTCCAAAGCTGGGGTGCCACTGCCTCCTTCAAAGAGGGCCCCCAAAGAAGCAACTCTGACCCAGATCTTAGGGGGAAGGAATGTATGTAAGGAAGGAGACATAGGCAGGGATAAAGGGAGGGCTGACACATCCCGACAGGCACATGAGCTAGTTAGCAAACACCTGCTCATTAATTGGAGGTGCTGTTCTGAAGAGCCCTTTATCCATCTTCTCTGCTGAGCCAGATGGGATGGAGGCTTTGTCCACAGAACAGAAGACACCCTCAGCTTGTTGCAAACCATCCCAAGACGCCAGTAGAAGGACAGTCTATAAAAGCTTTAAACAAACAAACAAACAAACAAACAAACAAACAGAAGTATGTGTTCTTCCTTTGACCCATCTACACTGAGTGAGCCAAAGTAGCAGGCAGTGCCTGAGATGGAAGTTACATATTCAGTACAGAAGGCACAGACACAGCTATGCTAGAGCAGAGGAAGCCACAGGGGCATGATTTAGGGCCCTGGATCTCAGGCTCAGTGAGCTCAGATGTGGGGCCTGGTATTCTGAGCCCCTGCCCAGCCCTGCTCACAGCTGGCATGGAAAGAACTGCACTGTCTGCCTCTGTGAGGCTCGAAATTAAGCCAATGGTTAAGAATGACCATCTAGATGACATGTAGGGTGCAAGGGTGGGGCAGCAGGAATCGCTGCATCTGCAGCTTTGCTATGCATGCAGGTTAGACACTTTTGTGCATCAAGCATGGAAGCCATTGGATTGCACTGTGATCTTCTTCCACTGCAAGATGGGACTAAGCTTCAGTTGCTAAAAACAAACTGAGCATTACAATACTGTAACAGGATGCATATTTTCAAGTTACAAACATTTTTTTTCTAATTTCATGATCGCCTCCATTCGCATGATATCCTAGACGTGCCTTCCAAAGCCTGGTGTCATCTGGATATTTCCAGACCCTTGGTCATGTTGACTGGGGTTGACAGGTATTGACGTTCAAGCTAACTGGTTGAGGAAGGTTGTCACAGACTTTCTGGTACAATTCTGATGGTGTTGTGACAAATTCATCATTGCATAAAACAAAAGAAGACACTGGCAATCCAAAAAGTTACTTCAGGTGTGTCTAGGAATTCATGCTAAGTTACTCCGTGAGATGCAAAATTTTGGCTACCTTCAGAAATGACTGTTGCCCAGTGCTCAATCAAGATAACATTGGACCCAAATTTCTGTGCTGTATATGAACCCAAGGAAGCAAAGGTTTTATGGAAAATGGTGTATTCATTCTTGCTGGGATGACACGGTGATAATACACAGAGGGATAAACTGCAAGGACACATACTTCAGAAGGAAATGCACATGGGAACATACTTCTGCCATAGGAACCACTGGAAATTATGGCACAGTTCTTTTTGTGTGCAATGGATTTCTGGGCATTTGTGGCTTAAAATACAGGCACAAACATCTCCAGTTAGGATGAAACAGCAGTTAATATTTGGTGCCATCCCAGTATCAGCTTCAGACTGATAATTGTATACCACACTTATTTATTTATTTACTTATGCCATTCCATTTCTGTGCCCCTCTCCCATAGCACCATGCCAACACATGTATGTTGCTGCCACATTTGTATGTAATATTACCTTGTATGGAAAGGTGATTAGCTGTCGGATCGTACATTAATTGTGGTTATCTGCATTTTACACCCTTGGTGCAAGAGTGGAATACAAGGACTTCTAATACATAAATATTAAATAAATGAGGTTCTATAACTCCTTGATTAAAACCCAGATATTTGCAATGAGAATGCACAGGACACTAGCACATCCCTTCTCATTATTTGAAACATTTGAGGGGGCTTAGAACTTGGTATTTTATTGAGACATCTTTGGTGCAGGAAATCAGATTATCTTTTCATCCCTCAACTTCTTATTTTGCATTAGAAATTCTAAACAGCTTTTGCAATGATGCCTTCACTTCTCTGTTTCTCAGGGTATAGATAATAGGGTTAAACAGAGGAACTAAAATGATATAGAACACGGAAAGGAGCTTATTAATGCTCACTGACTCCTTTGACCGTGGAGTCAGGTAGACAATGCTTGCTGAGCCATAGAAGAGCAATACAACAATGAGATGGGAAGAGCAAGTGACAAAAGCTTTTTTCTGACTCTCAGCTGATGACATCTTCAGAACAGCAGAGATTATTCTTAGATAAGATGCAAGGATAAGGAAAAATGGGATGATTAGGACAAATATGGCCACTGCAAAAACAATTAGTCTATTCATATTGGTGTCAGCACAGGCCAAATCTAGCAAAGAGGGGATATCACAGAATAAGTTGTTAATTTCATGGGAGCCACAAAAGGGCAAGACAACCACTAGATAGATCTGCCCTCCATGGATGGGCACATTGACTGACACAGAGAGAGTGATAAGTGCAGAGCAGAACTGCTTGTTCATGATGAGTACGTAATGCAGAGGGTTGCAGATGGCGACATAGCGGTCATAAGCCATGGCAGCCAAGAGCAAGCACTCTGTACCTCCCAGTAAGAGCAGGAAGTAAATCTGGGCCAAGCAGCCACTGAAGGAAATGCTCCTTTTGCCCACCACGAAACTTCCCAGCAGTTTTGGGACTGTGACTGACGTATAGCAGATCTCCACAAAGGACAGGCTCCTCAAGAAGGTATACATGGGAATCTGAAGGGCAGAGTCAGTCAGGGTAATGTAAACAATGAGTCCGTTCCCTGTGATGATGCCAGCATAGATGAGGAGGAACACCACGAACAGCAACTCTTGCAGATCTTGGAGCTCTGAGAAGCCCAGCAGAATGAAGTCAGAAAACCCAGTGTGATTTTCCTTTGCCATGCTTGTTGGCATCTGCTCTAAAGTGGGAAAGTAATAGAGAAGACACATTGGTCAGCCCTAATGACATTGTGAGAGGATTCCTGCTAAGGGAAGTCTCCTTCTTCAAAGCTGCTGGCATGTCCAGAATACACTGCTACATATATTCCCATGGAGCCCCACATACCTCACTCCTGCCTGTCCTCCAAGAAGAGATGAAGAGACTCTTCTATGCATCACAACACAATGAAATCCTAGGTTAGTCAGGAACTGCAAGAGGTCCTCTTCTGTAGCTACTCCCTAGTTATGGAACTGTCTCTTATGCAAAGTCCATCCTACTGGTCTCTCTTTAGCATCCACCACAAAGCTAAGCAAACAGGTTTTTCAAGCAGGATTTCCATCATGTGCTAAGCGCAATTGTTTAATTGCTGCTTACTGTGTGTGTGTTTGTGTGCATGTGTATGCACACATGCACACGTGTGCACATGCACACATGTCAGAAGTTATTAGCTATGGACAATGGTTTAATAAGTTTACATTGCCAATGCATACTCCCCATGGTTACTCTTACATTGGCTGGAAATGCAGCAGGACTGCTGTCCTGGTCATCCAGTAAAGATGCTGTGCACCAGATACAGGCTTGGGGTACCTCTCTTAATGGGGAAGAAACATCCCCATTTTCCTTAGCTCCTATTCTACATAATGGAAATATCTGCCTTTAAATGTAAAGTCCTTAAAATTTAGCTGTGTTCCCATCAAGCGTAGAATTCTGCCTGCTGGGATTGTGCTTCATCTTTAATTTAGCCTCTGCCATTGCTGGTCATTGACCATGCTGGCTGGGGCCCCTGGGTGCAAAGTCCCCAGATATTGCAAGAAAAGAATATTGATATACTGGATCATGAGGCCATTTACCAATGCACAGCAGTGAACTTATAAAAAAGATCCATCCATCCATCCACCCATCCACCCATCTATAATTTTATAACAGTACCTTCTAGCCCAAATAGGGCCAAGTAAATTAAGGTGACATATAGCTTAAAACTTATGCTACAATAAAATAGTATAATAATAGACAAATATGGGAACTTAAAGCAGGAAATACTGTACATCAAGATTGCTCTTTTAAAAACAATAGTTTTTATTAATGTGAGGTAGGAGGCAGATGAAAGTTTTATCAAACTCAAATATTTTTGTTAACGCTTGCATGTAGAGGATATGGTTTTGTTTTTAAAAATTGCTATGTGAAAAAACTATTAAACATTTAAACTGAAAAATCTAATTTCAGAATTAATTTTTATTTTCCCAGTTATAACACAGTGTACCACAAAGCACAACAAAGTGGAAGGGAGGGGAGGGTAGCGGAGAGGTCAACAATTTTGTTTACAAATCCAAACAACATAAAGCTGCAGGTACATAACAAAGATAATTTCAGTCCTACCTGTGTTCTGAATACAGAAACAACTTTAAGCCTTTCATCCTGATTTCCCAGAGAAGAAGAAAAACAAATCTCCTTTCTGCTTTCTCTTGTTCTCAAGTAGCTCTAAAATTCTGTTTTCCTACCAGCTATTAAAAAGATGCCGTTGCATTGAACAGGTGGTTTTCTCTCTCAAGGGACAATATTAAAGGAAAGTTTTTGCTTTCAAGGAATGCTTTAATACACTATATGTAATGATCTGCTTGTACAGAAATATATTTAGAATGCTGTGGTGTATGAGAGCTACCCAGGGACATTGTCTCAGCTGGAATGAATCTGAATCTTAACTTTGGCAATAGGAAGTGGATCTCCAGATAACTAGACCTGAATTTTACTTTGAAGATTGTGATTTAAGGTCTAGAAAGTAGGGTTGTCGTTATCCCCTTTGGCAGCTGCACATCAAACCTGCCACTCTCCCTGGCTTCCATAAAGAAATGTTCCAGTGGGGTGCCCCCAGCATTACAGGAATAATGAATGGGTCTGGGGTGTCCTGTTTAGTCAAAGGGCTCCCACCCTCCAGGAGAGTGTCTCCAATGCATTGCTTCCTGGGGACCCATATGTGTATGTGGGAGAACACCCTTTAGCATACTAGGTACCTGCAGGCGGCTTCTCCAGGGGCAGATGAGTGTCATCACTGGGTGAAGAGGTAAGAGGGTATGGAGGAGGACAGGAAGTAGAAGAGACCTGGTCCACCAGGGTATGAGCTTTCCCGGCAGCACTTCCTGTCAGAAGCTTGGTTTCTCCCTTCACCCTTTCAAAACAGCAGACCACTCTTTGGAAAAGCTCTTTATTCTCCATTGTGCATCCAGCAAAGCATAATCAGCATGTAAAGAGTCAGTCTCTGAGCTTGCACTGAACAGTTTGTTGAACCCACACTAGAAACTACCTCTCAGAAGCTTGCTCCTGTGCACCCCTAGGCCTCTGGTAGGGCCCTCTGGAGATGGGACTGCCTCCTAGCTGTGCACTGCCCCTCTAGTGCTAGTCCTTCTCTCCCAACACCACATCATGGGTTTGGGGATCATACCAGGCTTATCTGGCTCCTAGGGTTCCTGTCCCTCATCATCTCTCAGTCTTTGCAGACTGTGACTATTCTGAGGGTCCACCTGAAGAGCTAGAGAGTGTGGCCTTGAAAGAATCACTCCTACCTCTTCCATTTCAAGATCTGGAGACCCCATTTTCCAGGGATTGTCCTCCTCCTACTGAGAAGAGTCCAAGTCACCCTTGCTTTGAAACATGCACCAAGAACCACTGTTTCTTTCATCCCCAGCACTCCCCTCCCCATCTGCAGCACTGCACCTTGATGGAACAGACTGCCCTTTAAAGCCCCAACCACAGCTTGGGGGCCATGGGTTACCAGCACAGGGACTTGTTATCTCCAAGACACCTTCCAGCTTTATGATGTGTGTGTTTGTGTCTGTGTGTGTGAGAAAGAGAGAGAGAGAGGCACAGGCACAGAATACCTTAGTCAAGAGGAACAGTTATGGGGTGCATATTCCCAATGATCTTTTATCATTTCTTTCAAATTACCCTAATTTTGGGATCGTCTGTGTGAAAACATGTTATATTTTCAAGTAACAATATTTTCCAGTTTCAACTGTTTTTAGTAAACAATTTCCCTAAGGATACCTTCACTTCTCTATTTCTCCAGGTGTATATGATGGGATTAAACATCGGAACCAAAACTGTGTAAAACAAGGAAATCAACTTGTTAAAGTCCTGTGACTTCTTGGATCCAAGATTCAAGTAGACCATCATTGCTGAGCCATAGAAGAGTGATACCACAATGAGATGTGAAGAACAAGTGGAAAATACTTTCTTCTGACCACCTATCAAAGGTATCCTCAGAATAGCAGAAATTATTTTCACATAGGAAGCCAGGATGAGGAAAAAAGGGATGATTATGAAAACTGTGGAGGCCACAAAGACAGCAACATGATTGATGTATGTATCAGCACAGGCCAACTCTAATAAGGGAGAAATATCACAGAATAAGTTGTTAATTTCATGAGAGCCACAAAAGGGCAAGGTAAACACCAGATATGTTTGCCCTGCATGGGCAGACAGGTTGAAAATCAGAGATCCAGTGACAATTCCTGAGCAGAACCGTTTGTTCATTATGAGTCTGTAATGCAGAGGGTTACATATGGCCGTGTAGCGGTCGTAAGCCATGGCAGTCAGAAGCAAGCATTCAGTGCCCCCTAGTACAAGCGGGAAGTAGATCTGGGCAGCACAGTCAAGAAAAGAAATGCTTCTTTTCTCCACCACTAAATTCTCCAGCATCTTTGGGAGAGTAACGGAGGTGTAGCAAATCTCCACAAAGGACAGGTTCCTTAGAAAGAAATACATTGGAGTGTGCAGAGCAGGGTCAGTTAGCGTAATGTAAATGATTAGTCCATTTCCTAAGATGATGTCTGCATAGATGAATAGGAATATGGCAAAAAGCAACACTTGCAGATTTGGGGCATCTGAATATCCAAGGAGAATGAATTCGGAGAATGCGGTATGATTTTCTCTTACCATTTCTGTTTCTGTTAGTTGTATCTCATCTAGTAGGTAATCATGACAGAGAAGACACATTAGCCAGCCCAGAAAGAACTGGTATTCCACTTTCCTTAAAGTGGAAACCTTCACTTTTTCAAAAGAGATGCAACCTCTTTTAGATTCATCCAGTCCAGGCCACGTTTGGAAGGCTGGATGACCCATACCCTTCCATAAGTGCTTTCCTGTCAATTTTTTCCATGCACAGAAATGCACAATGCCCAGTGCCTATCTCTGCATGGAAAGTGATTGGCAGGCCAAGCTGAGTGGCTCCTTCTCACTCTATGCATTTCCTAATGCAAGCAAGAGCAGGGCAGAGAGGATCACAGCTGGGGCTTCTAGACCTGATCCTGTAACAACTGGCTGAACTGAGCAGTTCCTTTCCACCCTGCTTACATTCTGATTGTGGCAAGAGTGGGACAAGAAGGAGCACAGCCAGTGAGTGCAGAAACCATTCCTATAAGCCCAGACCAAGGATGGTGGCATCTCTTTGTGATTTCTGATAAGGGGCTTCCTCTCTGCATGTCCAGTCGTGGACTTGGGGAGGGACAGGGGCATGGGGAGGGCAAACCCAGGGCCCGTGGAAGGCTTCCAGCTCTCTGTGGGTGAGACTAGAAAGCCTACCCATCAGTTGAGCCCCATGGAATGGAGCTTACCCTGCCCTGATCCAGATTCAGCCACTATTCTGTTACTTCATCCTACAGATACTATCCATATCCATGCCATAAAATCTACTGGAAGGACACTGCTCTGTATCCTGATGTGAGTAGATGCTAGGTTAATCAGGAGCTCTGAGTGTTCAGCCCAACCTGTGACCCTCCCTCCCATCCAAGTTCCATCTGCTTCCCTGCTGGCCCTTTGGTTAATGTTGGAAATGCTGTTTCAATAACATTCTTGTGCTTGTTCTTGTTTTGGCTTCTGTTAGTTAAAAAGTTCATTGTTCAAATATGTTCTGAATTATAACCTTGCCTTGTAAGCCACCCCAAGACTTGTTGCAAAGGGGGCGGCATAAAAATGCTTTAAATAAATAAATAAATAAAATTATGTTAGCCACCCTGAGTGCAACTTTCACGTGTGGAAAAGTGGGGTATGTAAAACACACATAAATCTATGTGTGGTGATATGATTTCTTCTAATAGATCTCAGAATATATGAATAAAGATTTAAAATTTGGATATTCTGGCCTTGATTTTTATGCATCTATTTTTTAATTTCAATTCTAAGTAGGCATTGGAAATCATCTGGAACCAAGTGTATATGAATGCAAGGGTCTGGAATATACTTTAGAACCTCTCTATGGATCTACACTTATATTTAGAGTATATTCAGATAGATGAGATTTCAGTTAGTTAAGAGTTATGACTAAGTACTACTAATTTAAGTACTTTGACTTCAGTGATTCCTTGATTTCTAAATACAACCAAACACTTTTCTACAGGAGGCCTCTTCCCACATGTTTTAACATTTTGGTACCTTTTAGAGTAAAGAAAGTCAGCTATTAAAATTCAAATTGCAACAAACCAAGGAAAAAGCCATGTGAAAAGCTACAAATTTACTAAACTGCAGAGAAGCAGAGAAGTCACTCATCTTTTGCAATGGTAAAATGCCTACTCTAAAAACACAGGGCATGGCATACAGGATACTGACATTATCGTCCCAGACAAGCTAAAGAGTAACTATTTTAAATCAGATGTGTTTAAATGGAAGCGATTTAAGCTGGTGTTTAAACAGCTGAACTCAGGTTTACTAATCTTAGATTCAAGATTATGCTGGTTGTATGGATACACATCCATGCAAACATGCATAAGAACATAAGAAAAGCCATGCTGCATCTGACCAAAGGTCCATCCAGTCTGGCCCTCTGTACACACGGTGGCTAACCTGATGCCCACAGGATCCAGCAAGCAGCCTGGGTGCAAGACCTTCTCCGGCCCAGCTCCTCAACAGCAGGTGTAAGCAGGCATGCCACCTCTGGTAACGGAGCAAGTACATAGCCCACATGGCTAGCAGCCCCTGATAGCCTCTTCCCTCCCCTCACTCATGCATACATGTACATGCTTGCAGTCATTCCAGAGTCATAAGAAATTGGAGTAAATATTCCTAATACTTATTATGAAATAGCTCACATCTTAGCTGAATCTAGGATTGGACAGAATGGCTCTCCTCACAGAAAAAGCCTTTGCATAATTTTGGAAATCCTCCCATCTTCCTCTGCACTGCAACTTAGCCCATTCAGCAGGGTCCTCTGACCCTCCACTTAGCCATTTAAGGAGGTTCAGGAAGTTGCTTTGGGCAAGGAGCAGTGGGGAAGTCAGCCATACGCCCATCACCCCAGCCTCAATTATCACAGCATATACAAAACAGTGTGAGTAAAATATTTCTATAACTGTTTCCTCTCCTCTTGTGTTGATTTAATATTTATCTTTAATCAAATGTATGAAATCCAAGCCACAGAAGACTTCAGACAAAAAGTACAGCTAAATATTGTCATTCTACCTGCAATATGAGAAGCATTTCAGCCTTTCTGGTTCAATACACATGCAGTTCTTTGCATCCTCTTGTTCTCAAAGGTAGAAGAGATCCATTAAAAGATACCTTGTAAACATACTTTTAACAGCATTTAAAGTATGCACTTCCCAGAGCTGGTAGTTAATTATCCCCCAAGAAATTATGTTTAAGAGTAACTAGGTAAATATAAATGGTATATTTGTATAGAAATGTTTAGAATACTGGGGAAGATGTTCCCTAAAGAATTGTCTCAGTTGTGATGCAACTTCATTAGAATATTTCTCCTAATTAAACTTTGGCAATAGAAACATAGAGAAACAGAGAAACAGAATCTGTCAGAGAGGGGCCTCCGGGGCCACCTAGTCTGACCCCTGGCTCCAGCCAGCCCAACTCATGACATGCCTACCATGTGCATGTCCAGTCTATCCTTGAACACCCTCACCAATGGGGCTCCAACTACCTCCCGTGAAAGCCCATCCCATGCCCTAGGGATCCTAACCATCAGGAAGTACTTCCTGGCATCCACCCTAAATTTTGGTTCCCTGAGTTTGCTCCATTGGAATGCATCCTGCCCTCCACTGAAGGGGGAAAACGGTTACGGCCCACCTCTGTGTGGCACCCCCTCATGTACCTGTATGCCACTAATAGGTCCTATCTGAGTCTCCTCCTCTCAAGGCTGAAAAGACCCAGCTCCCTCAGCTTCTCTTGATCTGGCATACCTGCAAACCAGCCACCATCCTTCTGGTCCAGATCAAGAGAAGCTGAGGCAGCTGGGTCTTTTCAGTCTTGAGAGGAGGAGACTGCAAACCAGCCCACAAACCAGCCACCATCCTTGTGGCCCTTTGCTGCACTGATTCCAACCTTGTTATATCCCTCTTATAATGAGGGGCCCAGGATTGAACACAATACTCCAGCTGCAGTCACATCTCAAAAACCTATGTCTGCAATTTGACAAGGATGTAAGTGTGATATGGATTAGGGAGGGGTGCACATGTTCCATAGGGTTTCAATTACTTTTCAAAGTCATGCCAAAATTTATGGAAAGAACTGCATTTCTTTTTAATCAAACACACACTCAGTCTGACACCAGGTCTTGTTGTCTCCTAAAGACATATATACATTTGTTCTATAGGTTTGCTTATCCAGTCCAAAGTTACGTGTTCAAAGCAGTGCATGAACAGTACAAAGGTAAAAGGGATCAAAAAAGAAGTTAAGATAATTAGTATAAGAAATACCATAAATACAACATAAAATGAAGGGAGATGTGGCCCCTCAGAAGCAAGACTAATATTTGTATTTTTCTCGAGCCATCAAACAAAAAGAAGAATCTTTCAACAGATTCTACAAATGATTTTAAACCACAACATTTTAGAAAGGGTTTCAAAGCCTTCTTGAATCAGTAGAAAATGTAGATATCAGTCTGGTATTTTAGTAAATGTGCATGTTCTAAAAATGTATTCTTGTACTAGTAAACACAAACAATAAACTTAAGTATTGTCAGAGAAGGAAAATCTGTTTTGGAAAATAAACTTTGCAATAGTAGCTTAACTAACAGAACATTTTTTTTTTCAATTTGTAGTTGCTTCATTGAGAACCCCAACCCAAACATTCACTAGTTTAATCTCTCAAATAAGAAGCCACTCAGCTCACTTGTTATTCAAGATGCTGTTGTTTATATAGGACAGGGGATATTTGGCAAGTGAAATATATCCGTGCTGACTGGGATCCCATCACCACCTGCCACTCAGACAACCTTGAAAACCTATCCACAAGCTGGATGTTTGGGAAACATGTTTTGGCAATGCATGTGTGTCTGTTTGGAGGACTGAAGTATCAAGTCACACTCAGTAATGGTCATCCTATTTCCAGTTGTCTTCAGGAAACACTGTATCTACTCCTAATAAGTGTGCATTGCTTTGAGAACCAGAGAGCAAGGACTCTCTGCAAGGCTCAGTTTTCAACATACAATTTGTTTGTTTTAGGATTCTGTCCATCGCTCAGTGATCTGCTGCTCAAGAGCATCCAAAAAACTGCACACTTCATTATTTCCCATCTTCTACCAATGTCAGTTCCATCAACAGTCATTGTGCTTCACGCCAATTCATATCAAATGTCCAATTTCTCAAGATCTGACCCCAAACCAGCTGCCTCTCAGCAAATTTTGTGATGTTCACACAAGCATAAATATATACCAGGTTTAAACTGAGGTGGTGTACATTTTCCCTCTTTACAGTGTTTCTCTATCCACACAACCAGAAGAACAGTTTTTGGACAACAGCACTGCCATATTTTCTCATGCCACCACTACTCGAGATCACCAGATAAAACTACAGGATAATTTAAACAAGTATCTTATATATTCCCTTTATTTAACTTCTCAAGGGTCTTCCTAGGAGCCATACGTTACTTTTACTGGAAAGGAACATCCTCTCAACATGGTTTATTTCAAGGGCATGTCAATCCAATGGTCCCCATACAGTTGCTAGAGGGCCATAAGATATTTCAGATTCCCAGAACCATACTGGTACTGCCTTCCCTCACCTGAGAGCTGGCATGGAAAATGATGCTCTGTCTCTGTCTGGAAGGTCATCAGAGAGGAAGTCTTCTTCCTTCCTCGTCTAGCCATCTGGCAGGGTAGGAGGATGCAAAAATCCCCTCTATGACCTTCCTTCTTCACACAGCTGGGGGTCTTTGAGCATCCCTATTGGATCGTGCCCTTAATCAGCAATTGAAATGAAACCATTTTGAGGTCACCCTTCTCTTCAGAGCTTCATTGATCTCTTTGCTTCTCAAACTGTAGATGATAGGATTCAGGGTTGGGGTGATGATGGAGTAAAGCAGAGCTAGAAACTTGTCGTTTTCAAGGGTATAGCTAGAGCTGGGTCTCAGGTACATGGCACTGGCAGATCCATAGAACATAGTGATGACAATGAGGTGTGAGGAGCAGGTGGAGAAGGCTTTCTGCCTGCCCTTGGCAGATGCCATTTTCAGGATGGTGGTGATGATGTGGATATAGGAGCCAAGTATCAAGAGAGATGGGATCAGAGTGATTAACATCCCGGCTGTAAAGACAGCAATTTCATTTATGAATGTATCTCCACAGGCAAGTCTCAGAAGAGGAGGGATGTCACAAAAGAAAAAGTTGATCTGGTTGTCCTCACAGAAGGGCAGAACAAATATCAGAGTTGTCTGCCCTAGGGAGAGCACCATGCCACTGGCCCATGACCCAGCCACCAGCCAAGCACACAGCTTCTTGCTCATGATGGAAGCATAGCGCAGGGGGTTGCAGATGGCCGTGAAGCGGTCATACGCCATGGCCAAAAGAAGGAAGCACTCCGTGGTCCCAAGGAAGAGGAGGAAGTACAGCTGAGCAGCACAGCCAGTGAAGGAGATGGTTGTATCCTTGGAGAGGAAGTTCACCAACATCTTGGGGACTGTGACAGATGTATAGCAGATATCCACCAAAGAGAGACTGGCAATAAAATAACACATTGGACTATGAAGAGCAGGATCAAGCCTGACAACAATACTAATCATTGCATTTCCCACCAGTGACATGACATATGCTGTCAGAAATAGTGAAAAAAGCAAGGCACGCATCTCCAGATTGCCAGAAAATCCCATGATAATAAATCCAGTACTTTTGTTCT